CAGTGCCTGTACTTTTCATTTGCAGCTTGTTTTTCTTGGGGCTATAGGAATAGAGGGTTCACTTTCAATGAACAGCCACTAACTAAAATATGTCTATGTTTCAAAAGTATCCACAACTCTTCCTAATGTGAACTTTCACCAAAGGCCAAAACAGGGCTTGGTGCAGGGAATAAACTTTCTGATTGTTGTGAAACCGGCACTAAGGAATGGAAACAACATTATTTATGTGAGTGAGCTGCAGTGTCAAATGCTTAACCCCTCTGCAAGTTCCCTTCTCAATATGACTGATTTCGTTTCTGTCGTCTAGAGTGCCGTGTCACTTTGCGTTATATGTGATAATATTTATATTGGATATATTCTCTTAGTCATATTACGCACCAACTTTACTTCATCAGGTGAAACCTAGTAGTACATGGGAATGCTCAATCCAGAAAATTCAGAAGCAAAGCAGCATAAGTAACAGGGTGGAGTAGTGATATGACAAAATTATAAGAGATGAAATTTGAAGGGCTTCAAATCTAAAGGACGAATTTAAGGGGCTACTTTATGCCTCTGTATAATCAGTTTTCAGTAAGTTTATGTTCATTAGGCAAGAGGTAGTGAGAGCTGAACTAGCATAGTAGTAAGGGTAAGGAAAGGGGGTTGCTGGGGGCGGGGGTCACAGTCCACACAGAACTTGACATACCTGATCACATGGGAAGATGAGAGGCCTCATGCCAGGATGGCGGTGCCTTTCAGCAGAAAGATTTCTTCACTTACATTTGCTATACATATTAGTTTCAGGTGTTCAACATAGTGATTAAACATGTATATAATTGGGGTGATCACCCCAATAAGCCTAGTACCCATCTGATACCATAACATAGTTATTACAATATTAATGACTATATGTCTCACGCTGTACTGTACATCCTATGACTAATTTTTATAAATGGCAATTTGTAATTCTTAATCCCTTCACCTTTTTCACCCATCCCTCCCAACCTTCCTCCCATCTCCCATCTGGCAGATGTTCTCTCTATATATCTACTAGTTTGTTTCTGTCATTGTGGTTTTAATTTGCATTTCTCTGATAATTAGTGACATAGAGCATCTTTTCATATGTCTGTTGGCCATCTGTATGTCCTCTTTGAAGAAATGTCTGTTTAGGTCCTCTGCCATTTGTAAAATCAGATTGTTTGGGGTATTTTGTTGTTGTTGTTAAGTTGTATGAGTTCCTTATGTATTTTGGATATTAACCCTTTATTAGATGTATCATTGGTGACTTTTTTTTTTAATTTATTGGGGTGACAACGGTTAGTAAAATTACATAGGTTTCAAGCATACAATTCTATAACGCATCATCTCCTAGGGGTGCCAAAAAAAAGTATACACATGACTTGTATTCATCTTTTGTTATCAGTATATATTACAATTTTAATACAGTTTTTTCCTTTCTTAAAATGTGTATACATGTTTTTGGCACCCTCTATATATCACATTGTATGAGGACCACCCAGAGTCAGTTTTCCTTCCATCACCATATATTTGACCCTCTTTACCCTCCTCTACCACCCCCCCCCCCCCCGTAACCACTCAACTGTTGTCTGTGTCTGTGAGTGACTATCTTCTTCCATTCAGTAGGTTGTCTTTTTGTTTCATTGATGGTTTCCTTCACTATGCAAAAATGTTTTAGTTTGATATAGTCCCAGTTGTTTATTTTTTCTTTTGTTTCCCTTACCCAAAGATACATGCCCCCCAAAATATTACTAAGAGCAATGTCAAAGAGTTTACCGCCTGTGTTTCCTTCTAGGAGCTTTATAGTTTGGGGTCTTATATTTAAGTCTTTAATCCATTTTGAGTTTATTGTATATGGTATAAGAAAGGGGTCCAGTTTTATTCTTTTGCATGTATTGTCCAGCTTTCCCAATGTTTATCGAGCAGACTGTCTATATCCCATTGTATATTCTTGCCACCTTCATCATAGATTAAGTGACCATATTGGCATGGGTTTATTTCCAGGTTCTCGATTCTGTTCCATTGATCTATGTGTGTGTTTTTATGCCAGTGCCATGCTGTTTTGATTACCATAGCCTTATAATGTAGTTTGAAATCAGGTAGTGTTATACTCCAACTTTGTTCTTTCTCAAGATTGGGAAAAATGTCCACATTGTTGGAATCTAATGTGAAACCAGCTCATAAAGCATACAGACGGCTTGCAGACTAAGGATATAGAACAGACTTGGTACTGAAAGTAGAAATTATAGCATTGTTTCTGTCAAAACAGAAAGCAAGAAAGAAAACAGGACTATGTGTATACACCGGAGATAGTCAATCAAATCATCATGTTTTAAAGTTACTTGAAACATAATTCTCTGTTTGGTTGGAACATACCCACTTGATAGGTACCGTATTTCCCCATGTATAAGACGCCCCCATGTATAAGAAGCACCTTAATTTGGGGGCCTGAAATTTGAAAAAAATGTATTACATAAAGTTATTGAACTCAATTTTTATTCATCATAAAATTCATACAACTCCTCATCACTGTAAAAACTCCCAACCATGAGCTTGTCCTCATCTGTGTCTGATGATGGATCACTGTCTTCATAGATTGCCTCGTCCTCAGTTCCATCTATGGCATTTGAAATCTACAACCACTGTATAAGACCTACCCAGTTTTTAGACCCCAAATTTTTTGAAAAAGGGTGCGTCTTATACGTGGGGAAATATGGTAGGTTCATCTGCTTCATTTTGCTTTGAAGTTTAGGGATTTAATTTTTTAAATTTATATTTGTATAACTACATGTAAACCATTTGTATAGATTTGTATAGCTGTAAAGGGGAGTCTGTGACACAGTGTGTGTTCATTGAACTCAGACGTCTATCCTTGTCTCATCTACCCAGCTGCCTTATTTCTTAATTTCTTTAATGGTTTCGCTTTTCATTTTTAATATTATTTTATATATAATTTTAAGTAATTTTAAAAAGATAAGCAGTAGCATTTATGTTTTTCCACTTTGCTTTTTAAATTTTACTTTATTTAGTACTAGAGATCCCTCCCTAGCAGCATGTACAGAGACCCTCATTCCATTTTGTAGCATAGTGTGGAGATTCTATTTTAGGGGACCTCTTTATAGAGGTGACAGTTGGAGCTAAGGGAGTGGATGAGACCAATCCCCAGATCTAACAAAAATCTGCAGACTCAAAGGGAAAAGAATGGTGCTGAGAGCCAGATGGGCATTCAGGGGTATATCAGAGGATCTGGAGCAATCAGGGAACCCCAATGACTTCTGGAGGCAGGAGTGGCCTCAAATGATATTAGAAAGGTTGAAGGTGGTAAGAGCTGGGCAGAGGCAGGTTTTGGTTTATGGAAATGTTATCCAGGTATTTGGGGTTTGGCCAATGTAAACCACTGACGGACGGGGAAATTGTTTTCACCAACCACAAATGACACCATAGGACTGCTTATATGTTGTATAACTTTAATATCCGTCCTCAGAGAACACCTTCCACACAGTTATACAAGCTAGAAACAGAGCTATTCTATCATCACCTCCCATATCCAGGGCATTTTCCACACCAGTCAGTTTTACTTCCTAAATCTTCCTCATTCGTGCCTACTCCTGCCCACTCTCACCCAAACCACTGAAAAAGCTTCCTCCTGGACTCTCGGCAGAAACACTTGCCCCTTTTCTAATCTGTTCTTTACATGGCAGCGACAGTGATTTTAAAAATACAAATCACTTATTTACTTAAAATCTTTTAGGGGACTTCTTTAGACACACACCACCCGTCCTGTGAGCCGTGCGACCTGGCCCCTGCCTGCCGTGCCCCCAGCCCCTTGCCACTCTTGCCCTGATCCCCACTGCTGTCACGCTGGCTTCCTGTCGCTTCTTTGGTCCTATCGGGCTCTTCTTGCCGGAGGCTTTTGTACATGCTGTTCTCTCGGCCTAAAAGGCTTTTCATCAGTAACTGGTGATTCAAGTTTCATATCTTAGTGCCAATATGATCTCCTTAGAGAAGGCTTTGCCTGGGCAACCTCGCACTTTCCCCCCTCCTCGAACCCCACTAAAATGGGATCAGCTGCCTCCAACAAATGTTCTTCACAGCTTCTCGTGCTTTTCCTTTATGGCACGTCTCAGCTTGTAGTTTTGTATCAGTGTGATTATTCCAGCAGTGTTTGTTTCCCTCACATTTAATCTTCACAACTACTCAGTGAAATCGGTGTTATTACCCTCGTTTTAAAGGTGAGCATTTTAAGTAACCTGCCCAAGACCACTCAGCTAGTGAATGGCTGAAGTGGAATTTGAACCCCCGCTCCATCTATGTATGAGACTAGGTATCTAAAGGGCAGAGACTGTTTGCTTTTTCTGATTGTTGTATCCTCAACATTTACATAATGCCTATAATTTTTGCTATATTGATCTAAGGACGGTGTCCTTATATTTCCATTTCATATGTTTGTGATTTCATACATAATGTCAGTTTAAATTTACGAACAGTGTTAAGATAATTGATAGAGTTAAGTACGGTTGGTGTATCATTGATATATGACTAGTGGTGTGACCACCATTTAGTTTTTATCAAAAATTTATGTAATGTGTTTTTTTATTAGGTGTGTACAAGCTGTGAGGACAATGCAGAAGCTAATGGGTTTTGTGTCGAGTGTGTTGAATGGCTCTGCAAGACATGCATCAGAGCTCATCAAAGGGTGAAGTTCACAAAAGACCACACTGTGAGAGAGAAAGAGGAAGTGTCTCCAGGTAATGACTTAGTTCTTCTAGACGCTTTTCTCCATCCCTCCCACCAGCTTGTTTTCCCTTCGTACACTGACGTGTTCATACTCTTGTAAGTATTAATATACTCTTGTTTTTTTTTTAAATAACGCAGTCTACATTATAGTTGAAATTTCAATACTAATAAATATTTATAAGCCTGAATAGATGCAGAATCTTTCGGCCTTATAGTCATACTCCCAACCCACTTTTCCTATAAATGCCTTCATTTGGTGTGAATGGACAGCAAATGAAAAAATAAAAGTGCTTCTTAAACTTATTTTCTCTCACCTCTTCTTATATTTCTAAGATGACAAAGGATGGGCTTAAAAATAGTTTTGCAACTGTTTTCCCTCTGATATTCTTATAGTAAACCAGTTTTGGTATTTAATATATATAGATAATCAAATAAGCTTTGCTTTTTATGTAATTGTGGCTTCAGGGTTCTTGTTTTGTTGCTTATAATGCATAGTTCACTAATACTTTTTCTATTATAGTAAAATATATGTAAGCTAAAATTTGCCATTTTTAACCAGTTTTAAGTGTACAATTCAGTGACATTACTTGCATTTACAGTGTTATGCAACCATCACCACTATCTATTTACAAAACTTTTATCACCCCAAAAGGAAACTGTACCCATTAAGTAATAACTGCCCATTCCTCTCTACCCCCAGCTCCTGCTAATCTGTAATCTACTTTTTGTCTGTGAATTTGCTTTTTCTAGATACTTCATTCAAGTGGAATCATACAGTATTTGCCCTTTGATATCTGGCTTATTTCACTTATCACAATATTTTCAGGGTTCATCCATGTTGCAATATCTATTAAAATTTCATTTTTATGGCTCATTAATATATTTTTGTTTAAAAATTATTTTGCTGCTTTTTATTCATTGAATCAACCAGTGTTTGTATGCCTGTTCTATTGGTTGTCAGAAAAGTCATGACGTATTTTACTTCGTAACTTTTCCAACAACCCAATATATTGCAGGAGCTTTGCTAGGTACTAGAGATGAAAAGATAATTTAGGACAGATACTTCCTACCCTTCGTAGTTATTAGTATAATGAAGACTATAAACAAATTAGAAAATGTAGTTTGGCCTCATAAGTTCTATTGGCACACACGAAAGGCGTACCAAACTCAGATTTATGATGTAGGTTGGAGGCCAAATGATGAGAAGAAGTACTAGAAGGATGACTGTGAGTCAGGATCTAAATTCTTCGATAAATAAAGGAAGTCTGTAAATGGGTGATATGATGTCCTAATTATCTAAATCAAAAGCTCTATAAATAATTATTCCTACATAGCAGGCACAAACTAGGATATCCCAAGCCAACTAAGGATATATGGTCACCCTATCAACCATGATACCCAGATGACATGAACATTAAGGAGAAGGGTGCAGGGAGTTATGAGGAGATTCAGATTACTGATATTGAACCATCTTTGCATTGCTGGAATCCTTGCAGGACGTTTGGTCCTGTCCAAAAATATCCACTGGGAAATTTGATCCACACCAAAGACCCTTGAAATTTGGTCCTATCAAAAGCATCCACGCTTAGAAAAACGTTCCTGGGTTCACATAGCCCATACTTTCAGTTTGCAGGATTAATACATAAAAAATATTATCATGTTTTATTGGTCCAATATTATGCTGTGGTTGTATTGCCAATAATAAAACCCTTCTTGCTTTGGTAACCCAACTGGTAATGGCACATATCAAGGACCAAATATCATGGACCTTTTGGCATGGACCAAATGTCTCCATGGATGTTTTGCACAGAACCAAATACCAAAGACCTTACAGCATGGATCAAATGTCTCATTAGACGTTTTGGACAGGATTAAATGTCTGCTAATTGCTGGAATTCCATTTGGTCTTGATGTGTTGTGCTTTTAATTTTCTTTTAAACATCGCTTATTTTTTCTATCTGGTTAGTCCCCTTTTTTCATTCTGAATTTTATATGTTTTTATCTTTTTAATCTGAGTAGGTAGTAGGTTGTCTTTTTGTTTTTATCCACAGAAACAGCTCCTTAAATTTATCTAACTATCTGTTATATTTTTTTAGTTCACTAATACTATCTTTAATTCCTTTCAGCTTATCTTAGTTTTATTTTAAAGTTCTGTTATCAAATTGGTGAAGATTAAAAATATTGAGATAACCCCATTAGTAAGGTAATAGCCACTCTACACTGGTAGGAGTACAAATTGGTACAATTTTTTGGAGGACTATTTACTTATGTATATATAAATTACCCTTGAACCCAACAATTCTAGGAATTTGTCGTACAGAAACAGTCAAGGATTTATACATTTCATGTTTATTTTAGCACTATCATACAACACTGACAAGTGAGAAACATTCAGGCGTCCACTGGCAGGTGGAATACTCTAGAGCTAAGAAATAAGTGGATATATTTACTAACACAGAAAGGTATCTAAAAGTTAAGTGAAAAAAAAGTTAAGTAAAAAAAAAAAAAGTTGAGTAAAAAAAGAAAACTTACAAGACAGTATGTGTACTACCATTTTTTAAATTTTATAAAGCAAAATATACCCACTGGTATATGTAGTTATACATAGAAAAACAGCCAGAGGAACACACAGCAGGTTATTAATAGTGGTTATCTCAGTACATGGGATTATTTCTGAAATGTTTGGTTTTACCTTTAATTCTTAGTGAGATAACTGGTGTTTACTGTTTAATCAATTATTGTATTTATTTGTATTCTATTTAACATTATTTATTTATTTTTAACATTATAACATAAGCATTACCCAGTTTCATCCCTATTCTGGATAACTTGAAAAGTTACACGAATGACTACAATATAATAGTGAAAACTTTATGATTATTTCTGTGTTAATAGGTATCCTCTGTTAGGATTTTTGCAAAAGTGGGGAAATAATTTTTTTTGCCACACCTTTTATACATTTTTATTAGATTTTCTGAATTGCATTGAAAAAATTTCCTCCCTTAGTTGGAACAGAAAACATCTAATTGATTCATACTCATTTATCTGGGCTATTTTCTTGAGACTTTGTAATTCCATAAAGCATCTTTTTAACTATACATTTTCTTTCTCCTGAATTAATTTTAATTTATACGTTAGAAATTGAAAAGCTTATTTATATTTTCCTTCTGAAATGCTGAAAATACATAATATTTTGATATCTGTAAAACCTAGTGAAGTGATGTTGATGAAACTATAGCTCTTTTAGGTCTCAGTGGATTTGAATTTAAATAGATAGCCTAATAATTATTTACTATTCAATTGCGTTAATTTTCTTTTTTTTGCCTCATTGTTTCTACAGAGGCAGTTGGTGTGACCAGTCAGCGGCCAGTGTTTTGTCCTTTCCATAAGAAGGAACAGCTAAAGCTTTACTGTGAAACATGTGACAAATTAACATGTCGGGACTGCCAGTTATTAGAACATAAAGAGCATAGGTACGAGCATCTTTCATTGTACATATAGATTTGTAACGCAGATTTATGACGACTAGAGGACTGCTGACACCCAGCCAAATGGCAGTTTGCAGATAATGTTTTGTTTGACCAGTAGTGTGTTGGCCTAGTCAGGAATTTTTCAACGTGGGCACTACTGACATTTAAGCCAGATAATTATTTGTTGTGGGGGGGGCTGCCGGAGCATTGTGTGGTGTTACCTGCACCTTTGACCTCTATTCACTAGATTCCAATAGTATCCCCCCAGCTATCCCAACCAAAACTGTCTCCAGACATGGCCAAATGCATTAGGGAGCAAAATCACCCTGAGTGAAGAACCTCACGTTGGCCCACACACTGTTTTGAAATATGTGGAATTAGTTGCCAGGGTTGTAAAATGAGATTTTACATTTCAAAACAAAACAGAGCGAAAAACTAGATCTTTGGTATTTTGAGAAAAAATGGAAGCTGCTGTAGTCCTGGACCCCATATGCTTTCGTGTCTGCATTTGACTGGAATTGACTTGAGTGCTCGTTAGAAGGAGACATGCCTTTTCCAAGTCATCATAGTTCCCATCTAAAGCCCACTTTTAAATCTGACCTTCATAAGCATTTGAGTTAGCAACCACTGATTTAAACAGTGAGATTCTGATTAACTGATACATATCTAATTGCTTAAAATATTCTAGGCTCCTGATAATGGCAGAGTAGGTAAACCCGGACAAAATACAGATATCATTGATAAGAAATTTTAGAGCTTAGTAGTAAAGAATTACTGGACCCCAGGGTACAAAGAATGGTAGAGGATTTTTTCCCTTTTGAGGCCTTTGCCCAGAGGTTGGGGAGTACTTTTAATGGGCTCACAGAGCTGGGAAGACAGGGATTGGAGTTCAGTGGTCACAGGGGGCATGGCCTTGACTTGGGACCCTGAAAATCTACACTATTATTTTATTGTAAAGAGGAACCAGCTAGATGGTAATTCCTCAGAGGAACTAAAGCTCAGCATCAAATCTTCTCAGTTCATAGTTGGATTAAATTGAAATCATATTACTGGTGCCCCAAGGGACTTGGCAAAATTACATGTAAATCCTCCCTGAAGAAAGAAAACATCATTCTAGTCCTCAGTATTCAATAAAGCATTTTGCAAAATGGTCCAGCACACAGAAATAACCAAGTATGCTAGGAGATAACTCAGTGTGAACAAAATCTAACAGATACAACAAACAATATAAAAAGACCCTCAGGGCTCCATCTCATATTGAAGATGATAAGAGACAAAATGGAAAATTTGGATGGAGAACTGAAAACGATAAAAAAAAAAGAATGAGTTGGAGGTCTAAGACTGGCAATTTAAAGAAATGGAATTTATAGAGCGTTTAACAGCAGATTAGACACAGCAGGAAAGGAGAATTAATAAACAAGAATAAAATGAAGAAAATGTCCAGGTTGAAGCATGACAAACCAAAGGAGAGAAAGCAGAAGAGGGGTACCGAAGATGGTGGCACAGGGTGTTACTGGGGTCCAACAAGGAGAGAAGAGAGAATGGAGAGGAAGTAACACAGGACAGAATATAACGACTTGTAACTTCATAATACTGAAGAAAGACATCTAGCCCATATTTGAGAAGCCCCATGAGCCCCGAGCCAGAAATTTAAAAAGAAAATAATATTTTTAAAGTGCAAAGAGAAAATAACTGCAAAACTAAAATTCTATACCCAGTGAACATATTCTTCCAATATAAAGGTTAATTAATGAAAGACATTTTTAGACAAAATTATCTGGGAGAATATATCTCCAGTGAGCCCTCACTATGAAGTACACTTTAGGCAGAAGAAAAATGGTATCGATAGATGATGCATGATGGAATAAGAGCAATTAAAATGAGTAAATGTAAATGTTGACTTACACAGCATTAAACATGTTGTTGGTGTATGTCATGTGTGTGTTGTATGTCACACAGCAGGCATATTAGAAGAATGTGGACTTCATGGTCTAAGGCTTAACATAATTTAGGAAGATGGTAAAAAAGTACAAATTAATATTAGATGATAAGTCAAGATCTGCATTTTGTAACATCTAGAATAGTCACTAAAAGAATAGTAAAAGTATGATTATCAAGATAAAGGGGGAGAATGGAATAATTAATAATCAGTCCAAACCCATCAAGATCCAAAAACATCAAGGCATAACTCCCCCCAGGGAACCCCTGTTCCCCATGTATGCTAAAGGCAAATATTTGTGACTTCCACAGCACAACTTTATTTTAAAGATTTTATTGGGGAAGGGGAACAGCCAGTTCCCCTTCAGTCTTAGTTATGGAGGGCGCAGCTAGCTCAGCTCCAAGTCCAGTCGCCATCTGGCTGCCCTTGGGCAGCTCGCGGCCGCTCAGCTCAAGGTGCCGTGTTCAGTCTTAGTTGCAGGTGGGCATAGCCCACCATCCCATGCGGGAGTTGAACCGGCAACTTTGTTGTTAGGAGTTGGTGCTCTCACCAGCTGACCCATCCCCTGCCACCTTTTGGCAGCTCAGCAGCAGCTCAGCTCAAGGTGCCATGTTCAATCTTAGTTTCACCATCCCATGTGGGAGTTGAACTGGCAACCTTGTTGTTAGGAGCATGTGCTCTCACCAGCTGAGCCATCCTGCCACCTGTTGGCAGGTCAGTGGCAGCTCAGCTCAGGCACAGCTCACTGACCCATGTGGGAATCGAACCGGCGGCCCTGTTGCTCAGAGCTCAGGCTCTTAACCAACTGAGCCACTCAGCTGGCCCATAACTTTATTCTTTAAAAATGATCTTCAAAATGTTTGTTTATAGCATCAGACTTTCATAATTATGAAATTGTAAAATAGTTAATAAATCTGCTTAATTACTATGATTACTTTTTGACAGGTCTGCCAAGTGAGCTCTCTAAGCCTCTAAAACTATGATTATGAAAGTGTGCCTTTCCCAGATTTTCAAAACAACTTAGAGTGTCCATGAGTAATATCTGTAAAGACTCCCTCTTTCTTATGGGGTAATTTTGAGGGGAGGGGGAAAACCTGCCTTCTTGGCATATATTTGGTATTTTTAACTGATTATTATTTATATCCTTTATACTCTTATTATCTTAAGTTGTTTTCTATTAGTTATTTCTTTGGGGCTTTTCCTCATTTTAGACAAAGAAAATCATGTGAAATAAATGACTTCTTTACTTATTTCTTCAGGTATCAATTTATAGAAGAAGCGTTCCAGAATCAGAAAGTGATCATAGATACACTAATCACCAAACTGATGGAAAAAACAAAATACATAAAATACACAGGAAATCAGATCCAAAACAGGTAAATTTATAAAGTTTATCTTTATATAATGTTAATTATATTTACTTTTAGGACAGACATTTTACTTAACTCATGGTGAAGTAGGTTGAAGAAAGCTGTCAGATGGCTCTAATAATACATAGTTGATAAGACTTTTCCAGAAACTCTGGGTTTCTGGAAACTTTGGGTTGGAAAGCATCTTTTCAGCCATGAAATTTTAAAACTATTGTGGTAATAAACTACATTTAGAAGTTGCTCATTTATCTGGAAGGTATTGATGATTTATAGTTATCTGGTATTTTCCAATTTTAAAGAAGTGACAGGATTTAAAAATAAAAAACTATTTTGCCAGTATTGTAAAATGTTTTAACAATGATATACATAACTGCTATTTTGAGGATTGCTGAACTTGGAGATAACTCCTATGGGCTGTGAAGTGGAGATACTAGACACCAGGAGACAAGGGTCATTAAACTCTCACATACCTTTCTTTTATTCCTTGTCACATACGATACTTCCAGTTTCTACATATTACCTGTTATACTTTTTGGCCTCCAAAGGAGGAAATCATCAACTGTCCAAAGGCTCCTGTCTCACAGTTCAGTGACTGAGGGAGCAAACCACTGACCTCTGTGGGGAAGTGGGAGCTTGGCCCCCTTTCTATCCCATTTCGGGCACACATTTGACAGCACCTGTGAAACCACATGTCCTTTTCTTCTGGTGTTTCGCACACAAAACTAACGTGTCGCTGCCTAACTGGATCAAGAGATGCTTATTAGAAAGAGCCTGAAGAGGAGACACATCGCAGAGGGTCTGAGTGGTATTCACAGGGACAATCGTGTCAGCCTTTGGTAGCTCATCTTCTGTAATCGGTTGTTATTATCATTTCTTACATGACTAGGCTGGGGCATTTAAGCATTTTTTTCCAAAGAAGTCTCTGGTTTACGTGGGTTTTTAAAAAAAGATTCTTAAATATAATGTAACCTTTTATTGATGCCCCATTATTACTGATATATCTATTCATTATATTGTGGTAATAACAGTTTTATTGTGTCTTAGTTGTTATTATTTTTGTCAGCTCTCATCTCATTTTACTTTTCTCTTTCACATAACAACTACAGTTAACCAAATACTATTTGGTTACTTACCATATTCTAATCACAATAATGTATTTTACCAAATAGAGTAAGTGGTGAGTTTAAAGATTTTTGTACTTGAGTAAATTGAAAACTTGTAATGAATATTTATGGAATAATAAGGAGAGATAATTATAGGCATTTCTACCACCTAGTAGCAAATGATAGCAATTGTAAAATGACTAATTTTAGGTGAAAGATCCTTGATGAACTTTATCCTTTTGACTTTTTTCTTACTCTTTCACTGCATACATAGTATGAACTATGGGCCAAAGTCACTTTTAAAAAACAACAACATATGGATGTCCATTTGTTCCAATGCCATTTGTTGAAAAGACTACCCTGTTGCTGTTGAGTTGCCCTGGCACCTTTGTGGAAAATCAGTTGAACATATATGTGTGACCATATATGTCTGGGCTCTGTTCCATTGTTTTTCTTTTTTGCCAATACCCCACTTCATAACTTTTTATAGTAAGTCTTAAAAATCAGATACTGTGAAGTCTCCAAACTTATTTTTTTTTAACCTTTTTGTTAGTGGTTTATGCTGCTTTTCCAAAGTAACACATTGTGTAGAAGGATTTTGGGTTTTGAACTGTGGCAAAAATTGAAGAATCTTTGGATTAGGTATTATAATTGCTCATGTCTTTATAGTGTACCTGATTGTAGAAGGATTAAATTTACTGGACTGACTGACTTTGCAGTTAATTCATTTTCATACATGTGCAAACATGGCACTGCTTGTCTATTTTTCATCCTATTCTACCATCATGAGGATTTAAACTAGTTTTTTTAAGGTTGTTTGTTTTCCAGACCTGTCTGGTTTACTTGATCTTATAGCCAGTATTGATGTCAAATAAATATCTTGAAGAATTTCCAAGAGAGAATAAAATCTCTGCCCTTTTGGTCTTAAATTTTGGAGGATCACTATAGGAGAAGCAGACAGAAGGAAAGAAGTTTTTTTATTTATCTCATTATGTTCAGTGTGTGCCCCATTAATTATTTTCTGCTTCTGTAAGGTATTCTGGTGTGATGTTATGTATTTTCTCTATCTCGGTCTCCACAAAATCAGCACCTAGTTTCTATTATCAAAGGAAAAAAACATTTGGTGGTTGATGAAACATAAAATAGTAACTTGGCTGCTTAAAGACAAATGTGTTATTAAAAGTAGCAAACTACTCTTGTTGTCTTTTTGCTTCTATTCAGGTATAATGAACACTGTCGCAATTCAAATGACTAAATAAGAGTGACATGTTTACCCTTCCTACTGCTTGGTTGCAATGAATATGATAGAACTTGTTCAAATTCATGGTTTTTATCTTGTTCATAAATCTTTTTTTTTTTTGTCCGTCCTTTTAGGCTGAGTATTGATTTTCCTGGGTGTTATCATAATCTTCCCAACCCATATTTTCTTAAAATGTGTTCATTCTCTGGCAACTTTATGCATTTTGATTTTAAGGTTGAATTAAGCTACTATGTCTTTCAGACGAATTATATTTCTACTGTCTTATCTTCAAGAAAGTCAATTTAAACTGAAGAACCCTTAGAAATAGCTGAGCTTTTAAGAGCTAAAAACAGTTGCCTAATTTAGACCTTAAAAAAATCAATTTTAAATATTGTAAAACAAACCTTCTGCCTAATATTTTTCCCCCTCTTATTTAATTTTCAGGATAATTGAAGTAAATCAAAATCAAAAGCAGGTGGAACAGGATATTAAAGTTGCTATATTTACATTGATGGTAGAAATAAATAAAAAAGGGAAAGCTCTACTGCATCAGCTTGAGGTAAGTCATTGTTAATGGGACAGTATGTTGTAGTAATTTAATATTGTGTTTCACCTGCATTTGTGAATTTGAAATCCCAGCCTTTTTCATATAATTGTTTTATGATTTAATAATATGCTCCATTCCCACGTTTTCCTTTCCCAGGCTCGCCATTGTCAAGCCAGTTTTTGGCTTTGTAAAACACTAGGAATGTCTTTTTGTAAAATTTTAATCTTTATTGTACTATAGCCTCCAAAATGAGAGTGAATCTACATTAAGAAGGTTTAACCAAGGGCAAATATGAATGGGTGCTCTCTAGGAAACAACAACCTTATTTAGTATCATGTATGATGTTGATGCCCATATATGCTTTATAGGATTTCCAAAGTGGGCTCTTCATGGAAAGTATGGAAAACACAGTGGTTCTGGTATATCCAATAATAATTGTTTTTTGAAACCAATGTCTATCCTGATGTTTTATAGGTGATATTGCTTTAGTCTACTTTAGTTGATTTCCAAATACAATAATTGAGTGAAAGCATTTTTGAGCTTTTGACATACCCTACAAATATAAGGTAAGTGTAGTTAACTGAATTATTAGAAACCTTTGTGTGACATGTTAAAGAATAAAAACTCAGCTGAGTAAATGTGAAGATCTAATTGCTTGCCTTTATTAAGGATTCCTGAATTAAGCATCGTCCCATCTAGCAAGTTGGGAGATCCTCCCAGTAGGCGTGTCTTAATTCTTCCTGTTTACTTCATAGTGCAAAACAGAATGCCTTGCTTGAAGGAGCTCTGAAAATGTTAAGGAAATGAATCATTCTAGAGATTCATTGAAGTGACAGCTTTGCCTCACCAAAGGGGTGCAACTGAGCAACATTTTCAGAAAGATACTCTTAAGTTAGCTATATTTAGTTTCCAAATACATACAAGTTTAACTTTATATTAGATAAAAGGAGGTACCTCGTGCCCTCAATATTTTGTAGTCTTAATTGCAAAGGCCAATTAAGGAGACATGCTCAGGGCACTTTGGATAGTTGTTTCTCATTACAGGTAAGAAAAATATTACTGTCTTCATTATTAGCTTTTTTTACACTCATGAAGGTCAAGATCCAAAGTCAGTGTTTGATTTCAAATAATAGGAACTTAAAATTTCTACATGGTAAATTAACATAACATTAATTGCATGATATTTTAGTATTCTTGTAGTATATCAGTGCAGAAAGAATTCACAGTAAAGAAGCAATTTAGAATGAGAAGAGAATAAAGAATTGTGATATTTGAAGATTAAAAAAATAACTCCTAGAAACAATTTCATTCAATGTCTTTATTATGTAGTTGACAAAATTATAGGGCCTTTGTCAGAAAGTTCTGTACCTCCTGGGAAAGCGTGGTAATTTCTGTGGTTTATCAACCATACTAAAGACTAAATAATTCTCTGGTCTTTTAGAAACATACACTTATTTAGTGAAGATGTATTCTGGCCAGAAGGAATTAGACTACATTTATAGTAACTATTTTTTCAAGGTTCTGTGATTTTTTTTTTTAAATTAAATTTATTGGGGTGACATTAGTTAATAAAATTATATAGATTTCAAGTGTAATTTAAAAAAAAATAGAAGCATTTAAACAGTTTTAAAAGTTTTCAAAGCTCTGCTTAAAAGGTAACTTAGAATTGCTTTCTCAGAGATTGGTAGTGCACGCATTTCTGTGGTTGTTTCCAAACTTCACTGTAAATCAGAATCACTTCCAGATATCTTTTTTTTTAAATGAAGATAAAGAACAAAAGATGACCAAACCCCCAAATCTCTAGGACTGAACCTGAGATTTGGTTCATTTGGGAATAATACTTCATTATTTTTAATCAACTTTATTGACATAATTTTTACAGCACCTTTTAAACATGTCTGGTAACTATTTTTTAACTACCAATTTGTAGTAGTTACCTTTTTCACCCAGCCACCTTAGGTTCATTTTTTTATTGAGAATATAAAAATAAGTCCATGATTGGAGTGTAGCAATTTTACTTTTAAACTTTTTTTTTTTTTTTAACCAGTTGAAAGCTCTGTTTTTCCTCCCCTTTCCTTCCAGGTAAAGGAGACTTGGATAGAGACCTGTAAAACAACCCAAGTTCAGTGCTCTACACTTTTGATTAATCTGTGTTCTTGGCTTGTGTACTTCCCTTAGAAAAAGGGAAATCCCTCATAGAGAAATTCTGTGTTCTGGTTTTATGTAGCTTTTCCAAGAGTGCTTTGGCACCATTTGCCACTGTATGAATGGACTCCCATGGTAATTCTCAATAGACAAAAATAATATCTTTTTTTTACCACATATAAAACTTTGTTGCCTACCACTTGTTATGACTGAGTACAAACTGGTTGTATTCAGGGCTAGAATGCCCAAAAGGTGAAATCACACAATTGAGTAAATCATATGATCTGGTAACTGTACGAAATTGCTGGGTAGTACATCTATTTTACTTGTGCATATTGAATTTAGTTTACTGTATTGTAGTTAACCTACGGTTTTTGCTCCTTTTTGGATATTGGAAGATGCATGAACAGAAACCTAAACCCAGGGTGTGTAAAACCAGACCAGAGTGGTGGTGGGGGCAGCTGAGGCAGTGGTGGTTGCTGTGGCATTTGGGGCACAGTTGTTTGCTGCAGTGAGAGTGTTCCTAAGGGGGGAAAAAAACTTAGTATTTTCAGTTTCTGTTACTTGGGTTCTTAGAGATGATGGTTATTCTAATTTGATAATCTGAAAATGACCATTAAAATACATGTTATAGGCTGAACTGATTTGGAAAATGTTTCTTCTTTTCAGAGCCTTGCAAAGGACCATCGCATGAAACTTATGCAACAACAGCAGGAAGTGGCTGGACTTTCTAAACAACTGGAACATGTCATGCATTTTTCCAAATGGGCCGTTTCCAGTGGCAGCAGCACAGCCTTACTTTATAGCAAGCGATTGGTAAGACAGACGACGAGTGGCATTGAATATACTGTCAAAACACAGCGAGAAACAGAGTTATCGGAATGCTGGCAATTCAGAAATGATCATTAGTCGATCTGTGCTTAAATGCCTTTGACCTATTTCTAATTTTAATTGATCAAAATATTTTGGTTTTAAAAAATATTTTTAGCTGACAGACAAGCACAGGTCCTTCATGCGTTTCTGGAAGGGCGTGTGCGCTATCATCGGGGGCATGATCACAGGTTGGAAGCTTGGGCGCATCTAGTTGGCGTTGGTGCATTGCGGGGAGTGTAAAGCCAGGCCCCCCCCGGGTCTTGGTTGGGACAGGCGGGGCACCTCAGGGCCAAGGGGAGATGTGGGCCTGGCCAGTTAGGTGACAGGGATCCGAGGTCAAGCCGAGGGCCCACCCAGGCCAGTGCCAGCACTTGTCTTTCCCCAGTGGCCGGACTCAGCTACTCGCTCATGTAGCACTCGGCCTGAACCACCCAGAAGATAATTGATCTGGGGAAGGCAACATGGTTGTCCCTTTCCCCCCACGTTGTTCCCTCTTTCCCCTGTTTCTCTTTGGCCTTGTGGTCATTTTCCCAGCCTTTCCTCCCCGGCCCCCACCTCCCATTTGGAGAGTCAGTTGCAGTCCCAGTCTGATAAATCTATCGATTATGATAGTGAAAAATTTTTTATTTAAATTGTCATGATTTAGGTGTAACTTCAATATTAATTTACTATTGTCACTCCTATTTTATTCTTTTTCAAGTTTTGTCTTAGTGGCAATTGAACATAATACTAACAATAATGATAATAGTAAATATTCCTATTTACTATCAGTGCCAGGCACTAATTCTGAGCATTTTGCATGTAATATTTCATTTAAATGTTTACATTATTTTTATGACATGGGTGATGAAACTAGGACACATAGTTAGGTAACATGCCTAAGCTCACACAGAAAGAGGGATAGCTAGAATGCCAACATGGACACTTGAGCCCAGAGGCTCTGTTCTTTTGTCAGCATTACATTATTTCTTGTCGGCAGTATATTTTAGCTCATTGGCTGAAATTGGTGCTGGATATTTCAGCTCGTTGGCTATCGATCTGATGAACTACTTTGACAGGAGCCTTGGACCTTGCTACTGAAAATACAGCCCCTGATCACCTGAGTGTTCTAGTTCAGTAGATCGGGAGTGGAGCCAGGTTCTGTATTTCTGACCATCTCCCGGCGATACTGACGCTGCTCGTCTGTGGACCATGCCTTTAGTAGTAAGGATCTGCAAGACATTTAGTCACTGGAGGTCAGATCATAAACATTCTGAAACATCCCTGCTTTACTTGTTTTATTAAAGGCTACACAGAGGAAAGGCTTCCTTTCCTCTTGGCAGCCTTCAGTGACCGAGACGGGGTTTGATCTCCTTTCTCTGTTTACAAAGCCCTTGTGCTTATGTCGTAATAATCTCACATTTATCTGTTGTTATTATTACAGTTGCATATTTTTCTATGAATCTTATTAGATTTTATTTCTTAAAGGTAGGAATTTTGTGTTATCTAGTGCTTGATGTATAGGAGCTCAGTGAAAGATTAATGGTGAAAAAAGAAGGTTCCAGATAACATCTGTCAGAAGCTATAAGTACAGCCAAAACTTTATAAATTTTTACAGGATTGGAAACTTAGAAACACTAGATTTATTTTTCTTTTTTATGTTTATCTTATCTTCAATAGAAAGGAGATAGTATACAGCATTGCAATCTCAAGAGCTGTTTTCATATTTTTAAAAAAAATTTTTGTCTTTTGCTGTTTGAACAGCACCTAAGTTTTCAGTGTGAAACCTTAGTTCATTTACGTTTAGATACATCTGAAGGGATTAACAAGCATTTTTAATGACCATGATTTATCTTCTACACTAGTCAGGCTTTGTGATTTCTCAGAATTATCTAAAACATGCATCAGGAGTTTTGACAAGTATAATGGTTTACATTTTAATTTTAGATGGGTAATACAAATAATTTGACAACAAGAGAGCTCTTTACATTGAATGGCAGTAAAATACAGCAGAAAACAAATTATTACTTAAGGAACAGAATTTGGCGAAGTTTGATATTACTTTTAGACCTTTCCACAACTTAATAATTAGCAAATAGATAGTAGCTATCTGAGTTATAAGTAAATTCTGTATCTTCTAAATTTTCACCAGCAAAAGAGAGGGGGGGGGGGAAACCATGAGATAATAGTGCGATGGAAGCCAAGTGAAGGAAATGTTTCCATGAGGACCAGGTTCTGTGTGTGAAAAGCTACTGAAAGCCGGAAGCCGGTCGTTTCAGAAAAGAATGGGAGGAGAGGAATGGGGAACAATAAATATAAATGAGTCCTTTGAAGAGTTTTACTGTAAAGAAGAACAGAAAAGAAGGGCAGTTAATGACCCTTTCTCCCTTCCAGGACAAAAGGAGCCAAGAGTTTCGCTTTTAGCTAGGAAAAGTTAAAGCATGTTTATATGTTGATGTGAGTGATCCAGTAAAGTGGAAAGCTTGGTGGTACAGGAGAGGGAAGAACATTGCTGAGTAAGGATTTTTTGAGGAGGCAAAAGGGGTTGGGTGTTACTGCACAAGTAGAAGGATTGGCTTTAGCTAGAAGGATGGCCATTTAATCCATTGTAATAGGAGGGAACACTAATAATTACAGGCGATGGAAGTTTTCTTAGTGAAATAGCAAGCAAGACGGTTAACTGAGATTGAGAACGGGAGGAGATACTGTGGATTTGAAGAGAGAAAAGGTTTGAAGTAGTCATTTAGGAGAGTGGGGAAGTGAAGGACCAGAGAAATGTCATATGACAGCCAGTCAACCTTAAGGACCAGCTTGAAGTAAGTAGTCATGTATTTTGAAGTGAGATCAGTCCCTTTGTCATCCAATTAGTTCAGGCAACAGTTGGATTTGACCAGGGTTGTTTCTTTTATTTTGTCTGGGGAAAAGGTTGAGGAGAGGAAAGGGATGATGTGTCACTGGGTATGCGAGAGAAAGAGGTGTTGAGGATGGTATATGCAAGGACATGATTATGATTGCCCTGGGATTTAAACTGGATAAAGAGGAATTGGGCGATAGAGGATAAGGATAATGGTTGGGTGAGCTCGAAGGACAGAGGCTTAGAGGATCTCTGGGTTTGTGGGAGTGTTGGTGTCTGGGCACTAGAGGAAGCAAGCTGGAAAGAAGGATCATCTAGCTGGATATTAAAATCAAGAATTAGGACAGGAGTAGTGTTGGAGGTGGTGATAGTGAACTAGGAGCTAAACTCTTCAAGGACTGAGGAAGAAGGGCGAGTGTTCACGGACAGCTGCCCGTGGAGGGTGTGATGGCGTGAAATTCAAAGCGCAGCAGCAGGGAGAACTGTCGCCCAGCAGCCTAGTTATGAGCTGCACTTACCTTTATTGTGCAGAGCTTAATTTGTCTTCTCTGGAACTCGTTAGCCACCTGGTCTAAATTCTGAATCCTTTAAAAGAGTTAAGTATATAATACATAAAAGCAAAATGTGTTAAAATTTATTTTACAAATATTTAGTTGGTGCTTCTATGAAGTATTAATTTAAAAAACTAACTTTAACCCATCACTTGAAGACACTTCCCCATTTTGTATTCAACAGTATCACCAACTGAGTTATACCTCAAAACTTTTAACATGTTTTGGAAAGAAAACTGTGTTATCTGTCCACTTTTTATAATTTTATATATGCTTGTTTTTTTGGGGGGTTTTTTTTGGTGTGTGTGTGTGCGTGTGTATTTACTGGGAACTTAATAAATTATTTGCCTGATAAGATGTTGAGTTGTCTCTCCTTTCTTCTAGATTACATACCGGTTACGGCACCTCCTTCGAGCAAGGTGTGATGCTTCCCCAGTGACCAACAATACCATCCAGTTTCACTGTGATCCTAGTTTCTGGGCTCAAAATATCATCAATTTAGGTAGGCCTTTTATGTATATTTTCTCCAAGTGCCATTTGTTTCTGGCACTCTTATTGATCATATGTTATTGAAAATACATTTCCTTCCACCCTCAAAGTGTTTTCTTTATTGTGTTTTAAAGACATGGAACTGTTGCTAGCATTTCATTAATGTGTCTGTGTGGGTGACACATGCATAAATAGAAACACATGTAAATATATGGATGCTATGGAACATCCTCTATATGGATTCACAGTGTATCTAGACTGGGATTAAAGAGTGCTTTTTCCATAGAATCTTGTACTGTTTATCAAAATAGGTTGCTAGAACTCTTGACTCATGACTGCCATTAATATAGGATTTTATAATATTTAGAATGTTTTCTGTTAAAATAATATTTCTTATATTATTGGCTTACTTAACTCTTTAGACCCAGTCATCAGGCACCTAATGGTTCATTTGCTTTACCTTGCTGGGGAAGACTTCTCATTTTTTTCTTTGGCCTTTTATGTAATAATTTATATGATTTTTTAAAAATTTCCTAGTTGAAGTGTAACATGCATACAGAAAAGTGCCCCAATTTTAAGTATTAGAGTCCACTGAATTATCACAAAAGGAAACTGTCATTTTGGTAACATTAGGAGCTCAAATATCCTTGCAGACAGTTCAGGAAGTTATTACTTTAGCTTTCTTGTTACATTATTTGCTTGAAGAAAAAGTCTCTATTTTATACCTCCTTTACTAATTTCTCACAGAAAAATTATAGAAACAGAAATTTAAGAATTCCCTACACATTCTTCATCAACTACTAACATTCCCTTTGATGACTGTTTTGTGCTCATTGACTTTGTTTCCAAATCATCAAAGATGGCTTCTCTGTCATTCCCTAGGCTAGATTCTGGGAGGACAGGAAGAAATGGCTGGAAAGAGCCAGTGTTAGGAACACACTAGGAAACAAATAGGCTTACACAAGTGTCATCCATACCAGAGAACAACAAAAAGAGTAGTGATGGGGTGACTCCTTGAAGAAAACGTGATAGGGTGACTCCTGCAACTCAGATTGGAATATATGCAGCCATATGTTGATTGATACATAGCAGGCAACTGGAATCACATACACTCTCACATCTATTACTAAAAAGCATCTTAATTAACACAAAACATATGAATAAGTAACTGTCCCTTACCCTATCCCACCTGCCACCACACATACAATAATACAGAGAACCTATCACAAGTTATATATCCACACAAGTTGTCATATACGTAGACATATATGTACTTGTAAGTATATAACTTAAAATACAGACCACACGATGTAAGCATAGGCAAAACTAAGGTTACATGTATAACTGTACACACATAAATGATATAATTTTAGATAAATCTACATCAGCAAAAGCAAAATAAAAACAGCATCTCCTGTTTGTGAAAAGTTTGTGAAACTCAGATACAATAATGTTAAACAATATCCTTTACTATAGGACTTCTCAGAGCTGTCATTTACAGTTCTGTAAATTATTATTTACAATGAGATTTACATTTTAAATTTTCCAAGGAGACAAGTTTCTGAAACTCTGAGAAACATCTTGATCTAGATGGATATTCGGTTAATGTTTTGGTGACTTGGGTAAGTCGTTCAGTCTCTCTGAAATCTGAGATCCTTTATCTATAGAAAGGACTTTAACAGGTACACACAGAGACCTACTGTCATAGTGCCTAACATACAGTAAGTATTTAATGAATGGTAACCATGTTTTCTATTGTACTTAGTAAATCAAAACCATTTAAATGAGTCTCTACTGTTGAAGAAATTAAGCTTTGCCTTATGCTTGGATCAGAGGCACCTTTAAACTCAAAGTGCAGTTGTAAGCCAAAGTATTCTGTCAGAGGCCTGATTGATATATTACGTATTGTGAAGGTGTAAGGAACTTGAGAAGTTACAAATTATTAATACTAAAGAATTGGAAATACTTTGTGGGATTTTTGGGAACCAGTGTCAGATTTGCTTGTTTTGTTTTGATAACAATAGTAGTTCTCAAAATATAGTCTGAGGCCCCTTCAGGGAACCACAGAGGCCTCCGTTTTCCAACTGCATACCCATGCATGGCTGGATTTTCTTCATATATTTCAACCTAAACAACATATTATGACAGATAATGCAGAAACAGATAGGAGAGTTCAGCCATTAAGCCAGAGATTTTCAATAATGTAAAATAATGCTTCTTTTCACTAATTTTTTTTGAAAAATATTTATTTTTCATAAAAGGGTATTAATGGGCTTATTTTTAAGTGAATTAATGAATAAAAATTTTTAAAATTCTCATATGGTAAATTTTGATAGAACCTCTGTGAACAAAAGCTCTTTGGGGCCTTCTATGTTTAAGAGTATAAAGGGTTTCTAAGACCAAAAAGTTCTTGGCAATCCTGAAGTTCAGCAAAATTGGCCTTGCAAAATGTGGTATTTCACTATCAGAAAAACTGGAACTGAACCTTTTCTCTTTCGTTAGGTTCTTTAGTAATTGAAGATAAAGAGAGCCAACCACAAATGCCTAAGCAGAATCCTGTCGTGGAACAGAATTCACCGCCGCAAGGTGGTTTATCTTCAAACCAGTTATCCAAGTTTCCAACACAGATCAGCCTAGCTCAGTTACGACTCCAGCATATGCAGCAACAGGTAATGGCTCAGAGGCAACAGGTGCAACGGAGGCCAGCACCTGTGGGTTTACCAAACCCTAGAATGCAGGGGCCCATCCAGCAGCCTTCCATCTCTCATCAGGTAAATTTGGAAGCAGGCCTGTCCTAACTTAGATAATTATAGTACAATTGTATTCAGCAGCTCTCAAAATAACCAAGACATCCGTCACCGATGATTTAAATATATGCATTTATAAAAATTTATCACCTTGAGGATCCCTGATTTAACTCTGAGATTTCAGCCCTTCTCAAGAAAGAATTAATGGTTTATTTAGCTGGTACATCAATTTTCATCTACTCTTCATTGTCTTCCAATTATAATAGAGAAGAAATGATGGCATTCCTAAATAATCCATGCCTGGATTGGTGGGTGAAGTTGTGTACCTGTAACTCATAATCCCTTTATTAGTTCCTCATAATGACTAATACTTCAGGTATCTCTTGTGTGAGGATGCCGTGTTTAGCAAACCACATTGCACCTTAGAAACTAGGGCAAAATGAAATAAAGAAGGTCGGGTGTGGTTCATTCGAAATCTCCCCTTTTCAAACTTTATTTCCAAGCAAATATTGCATGAGCCATTCTTATTTTCACTAGATATGAAATACTCTGTTTACTTCTAATCCAATTTTTGAAAAGATTTGCATACTTTGTTAAATAGTGGAACCATCTGCTCAGGTTAGATGTGGCATACTTAGACTTAATAAAGGCTTAGTAAGGAGTATAAAGTCTAATTCATACAAATTCTCTTGTATTTCAGTTACATTTATTAATTTATACTCTTCATGTTTCTGAGAAGGATTTGAAGTGACTTACAGTAAATGACACATGAAATGAAATGGGGCTTAATAGGAATCAAATAAAGTGTAGAAATAGGCTAAGAAATTTCATTCGCGAGAACAAGACTTAGCTCAGAACTTTTTGTCAACCTAGCAAAAAAGAAATAGAAATAGTATCTCTATGATTTAATAAAAGGAAACATGCCAGTTACTTAGGGGAGAAACTTTTTACTAGCATAAGAGGAGCATATAATGTGGGTCTTTATGAAAAAGCAATTAAATGGCATAATATTTTTGTGGCAATTTTACAGAACATAGAAATGGCCTTCATGGGACTCTAACTTTAACCCTAAATAAAAGCTGTGGGCCTATGGAGAGGATTTTGTTAAGTCGCCTCTTTGAAGCCCAGAGGTAATGTAGTTGAGGTTTATAGCTTTCTAGTAATTTGATTAGAAGGCACATCAGGTCCTGAGGAATTAGTATGTCCAGTTGATTATTCCTCTCCAACTTTGTTTTAACCCAGGTTTATACAGGAAGTATTGGGTTGTTGGAAAAGTCATGACGCATTTTTGCAACGAAAAATACAAATATGTCATGACTTTTCCGACAACCCAATAGATAACAAGCAATGTAAGAGGTCTTCAGTGAGTGTACCATGGACAAAGAATTGTATGCTTTAGATGCCAGGAGTACAACTGGCAAAGTTGAAATTTTGTTCAGAAAATTTAGAAATAATTTTGTCACTACCTCTGGAGACTGCAGAGTAACATACTGCAGGTAGACTGCAGAGCGTGCCAAGATTTTCCAGAAGCTGAATGTAAAGATGAGAAGAGAGAGAAAATAATTACTGTTGAGCGCCTAGCACTAAGCATTTGCATGACAAACATTTATCTTAAGTGAGAGATGCTAAAGTGACTTTTATTTAATAGTTGATTAACCCGAAAAAGCATACATCTATCATTTGGGTTAATTGCCTTTTCACTAAGAAGTAAGGAACTGAAGCAGTTAATAGATACTATGTGACTTGACCAATTTCATTCTCATAAATAGTTATTTATATAAGCAATGACAAAACAGAAAATGACCCCTGAATGGTTAGTTTGTGTATCTTAGCAATTTTTTCTCTCTAGGATTTACTGCTACGTAATCTATATAATGTACAATCTCTATTATACAGCCCAATTGTTCCACTTAGAAATAAAGTAGTTTTTGTATCTTTTGGTCATTACCTCTTTTTTTGTTGACTTTCAGTGACTCCTGTACCTTTTTTTCACATACTTACCTCTCATTTTTAGCTGCTCTCGGCCAAACACCCACTCATACATTATTCACTCATCAATTTGCACACTTCCGTAAATTTTTACACTGCTCTTTTCTTAGTTTTCTAATAGTTTACTTGCATATATGTGAGGGAAAAATGACTGTTTATAAGCAGGGTGTGTGTGTGTGTGTGTGTGTGTTTGTGTGCGCATGTGCACACGCGCAACTGGCTTTGGATATGATATGTTCAAATCATACTCTGTCCAGAGGTTCCAGGTAAATTGAAAGGACTGCTTCTAAAAATCACTTACATAATAGCTCCCTATGTCTTATTCTTTTGAAGACTAATTAACCAGGTACTGTGCATGGTTATAGTTGAGTGATACAGAAATACAATACATAGTTATATGAGTGCGTGGTACAAACTTGATAGACTTTGTACATCTATTTAGCGGTATATAGTCTATCCTACTCCAGTGGACAGATCTAAGTTTGTTAGCACTGTCATTATGGACATTATGTCATTATGTTATTATGGACATAATTCACAGCAGTGGTTCTTACTCCTGAGCCAGACTTACTGCTATGGAGGTACTCTCATTTATATGTATATATTAATTTTCCTCAACAGTGGATGGATGTTAGGACATTTGTTATCCTTCATGGTTATACACAGTTGGGAACTATTGACCTAGAATGAAATCAAAACCTTTAATACTGGAGGTACTTAGAGTGAAGATAAGGATGCTGATGATTATGGGTCAGTTTCCTTAAGATCTCAATTGTTTCTTCTGTAGTATCTTCTGTATCTTGGAAATGAATAGATTCCATTTAATTAAAATAACACTGATTGTGCTGTTTTGTATGCTGATAACTAGTTCCTAATCTTACTCTTTCAAGTTGCTTCCCCTGTCACAGGGGTCTTAGAAATTAACTCAATCAACTATTACCAGTTTAGGGGAGGCATAAAAAATCTCATCTCACATCTTACCAGACTGTGTGCTCCTTGATGGCAGGGTTGACATCTGATTTCTCCCAGAGTAACTCTGGCATCAAGTGTCACTTCTTGACTGAATCAGTGTGAATCTGGGTGGGCGTGTGAGAGGAGGGCAGCAAAAGCTTCTACAGCTACCTTTGTTCTCCCTTAAGGATCATTTTGGATGCTTTTCCACTTTTTAAAAAATTATATCTTAGATAAATTTAGAAGTTTTCCACTGTAGTTCCCCAACTATTTTCTGTTTGTGTTTCTATGATATTAAACCCTTCAAATCACAAAACTTTAATAGAAGAATCAAAAACAAGTGTAATGGCATCAGGCTTTTTGCTTCTGTCAAGCTTTGACACTTTTTCTGTTTTTCTCTAATATTTTTCTAATTTTCACCCACAGAATTTCCCTTGGTCTTAAAATAAACAGTATTTAAATCCACTTTTCATTGGGTCTGTAATTGCTGGCTACTCTGGAAAGTTACTGAGGGTGAACTCAGCGCTAGCTAGTTTGTAAGAAAGGGGAGAGAGAAGCAATATTACCCAGGAAAGGAAAGGGAATTCTAAAAAATGGGAGAAGAGAACAGAGGGCAGAGCTATACACTTTATAGCTATCTGCCTTTCACGGTGTCAAAGTTTAAGGTGTTGCTACTTCAACTTTATAATAAATTCCACATTGGTTTGTCCCCTTGTGAATGTGGGAATTAATAATTCCTTCCCTGAGAAGTTCTAACCGTATACAGTTAAGACAGCTTGAAAATAAGTATTGGCAGTAAGTTGCCAACCATCGAATTGGAGAGTCAAGATGAGACTGGCGTATGAGGTTACCTTTTTCTGGAACACTGGTCTCAATTTACAGAGCTAGTATTTATGAGCAAAGCAGGCTTGCCGTCCCCGCCCCTGCCCTGTCCTGTCGTCAACCAATGTTGTCCTTGAAGGCTTTCCTTTCAGAATCTACTTTCTTTTAGGGAAACTCATACTCTAGGCTGTAATTAGTCAATACTTTCATCAACCCCCAGCTAAATACCAGGACACATTTGGGTAATGATTTTGATGAAAGCCTTAGTGCTGTCTTTTACTAGCTGTGTGACTTTTTTCGAGCTTTCTAAGCTTTCAGATGCTGGGTGTCCTGATTTGTAAAATGGGGGAGGGTAATAGAGATAACACATGTAAAATGCTGATCACAGTGCCCAGCATATAGTTTAATCTCCATAAGATCTAAAACTCATTTAAATGTTACTAGTATCAACTGCTTTCATTATTATTATTATTTTTTATTACATTTATTGGGGTGACAATGGTTAGTAAAACTACATAGGTGTCAAGTGTACAATTCTGAAATACATCATCTGTATATCACATTGTGTGCTCACCACCCAGAGCCAGTTCTCCTTTCATTTTTAATGATTTATTGGTTAAGAATGCAGACCTTGGAGCCAGAGTACTTGAGTTTAGATCCCAGCTGCATCCCTTACTACCTTTGTTAATCTTTGACAAGTTATTTAAATTCTCTATATCTTAGTTTCCTTTTCTTTAAAATAGGGATGGTCCCTACTTCACAGGATTGTTGTGAAGATTGAATCACATGTAAAGCACTTAAAAGCAGTTCCTGGCATGTAATAACTGCTCAGTAAATGTTAGCAATTATTTTAGGTTCGAAGAGGGCAATTTTTTGCAAAAGATAATCATTAAGGATTTAGAAGGATACCAAAGACAACTTTTCCCTACTTCCCAAGATGGCTAGCTAGGTTCAATGCTGGTATAACCAACTTAGAGTCGTAAACCCCTCCTGCCATGGCTTTTTCCTAAGAAAACTCCTTTTCTTTAAATGACTTATACGCATTCTAGAAGGCTGCTTCCTTCCCCCTTACCTTGTTGTAGTATTAATAAATAATTCATCTGGTAGAGTTGTTGTCTTTCTGTAAAAGTTATAGAATTCTCTATAATTTATCTTTCAGAAGATGATTGTCACTGAATTGGTTTAATTTCTTTTTTCCAGCAACCCCCTCCACGTTTGATAAATTTTCAAAATCACAGTCCCAAACCCAATGGACCGGTTCTTCCTCCTCATCCTCAACAGCTGAGATATCCACCAGCCCAGAATGTGCCACGACCAGCAATAAAGCCCAACCCCCTACAGATGGCTTTCTTGGCTCAACAAGCCATAAAACAGGTATATATATATATTCACTTCTCCTTGTTCTACTTCTCTCTACTTTCAAATCACATTGAATTTATAGATAAAGCAACCATTATGAAGAGCAAGAGCAAGCATTTTTTTAAAATAAATGTGAATTACAGAGTTTATTAGACAGACCTGTAGAGACAAAGCTAAGAGGAAGGGCTTTGATGCTTTACAATTAACAAGAGAAATCAAGCCACTTTATATGCATAAAGGCTCAGAATAATCGGTAAGTCATAGATACTAATTTTTTGCAATACCGATGTGTGTAGCTTTTAGGTGAATACATTAAATTTCCTAAGACAGAAGTAGTCTAACAAATAGAGGTTATCTTCTGCAAAAGAGAACAATAAATCAATCTTAAGTGTTTCAAGGAGAATTTTGGAAACAAACTGATTATGACAGTTTTAATATGGAGTATGTTAACCTGATAAAGTTTAATATTTAAGGTTATATATTAAATCAGATAAGGTTTAATATTTGTATTCTCTCTATGATTGGCAACTTACTGCAAATATTTATTTTCAGGCTATCTTAACTGTATATGATTAGAACTTGTCAGAGAAGGAACTCTTAATTCCCACATTCACGAGGGGACACATCAATGTGCAACTTACTGTAAAGTTGAAGCTGCAATACCTTAAACTTTGACACCGTGAAGGCAACACAGAGTGTAGAACTACAAAGTGTACAGCTGTGCCCTCCTTTTTCTCCCTTCTCCCACGTTAGCTCAGGCAGGGACAGAAGAAAATGTATGGTTTCAGTCCTCCATCTTTACCTTGAAGTAGCTGTACATGTGTTTGTATTTCTTTTCCAGCATGTATAAGCTTTCCAAGGTTAGTAATGTGGTTTTCTGATGTATACTGTATTGTCTTCTGGCAAAGATCAGTGCTTTTTATTTTTGGACAGGACTAATGAAAATTGTGTACACCTGTCCCTCTCCCCTTTCCATTCAAATTACAGTTGAATTCAAATAGCAGAATGTGTCTTTTACAGGGGTTGGGTGGACACTGATGTTCTAGTCCTGCTGACAGACAAGCTTTTTTTCTCTAGTGGCAGATCAGCAGTGGGCAGGCTCCCCCATCCACTGCCAACAGCACGCCCTCTACTCCTTCCAGCCCCACCATTACTAGCGCAGCAGGATACGATGGGAAGGCGTTCGGTTCGCCTATGATTGATTTAAGCTCACCAGTGGGAGGTTCTTATAACCTTCCTTCTCTTCCAGATGTAAGTACACACAAAATTTATAATAAGAATCTGTTTCAAATATTTTACATGAACTTGGATCTGGTAAAAGCATGGGTTTGTTGAATTACAGGTGGTTTTGTGTTTCAGAAGTTATTTATATCCTTTAGAAATATTATGGGAAGAGGAGGTACTAGAAATTTGAATTGCTGGAATGTGATATGTTAGAATAAGATCAGAGAGGGAGGCATCAGAAGAGATGGAAACAATTTAATATAGAAATGAGAACATTTTCTGTTACATCATACCAATGCCAAATTACCTCTGATTTATATATAAATTAAATACATTCATTATTTACAATCTGTGCCCTAGGATGGTAGGATTAATTGTCTTGTAGAATCCTGGTTGAGAAAGGCTGCAACTATATCAGAATTGAACTGGATTTTAATCACAAAGACATTCTTGGGAAACAAATGATGTATATAAGCCTGAGAAGTGTTTGTGTCTAAAGCATTAAAGTCTTATTCCATAGAAAAGTATCAGTATTTTAGCCTGGCAATCAATTAGGAAATAAGTGTTATTTGTACCTCTATTATAGGAAAGCAAGAATCTCTGAGGGCTCCTTTTTTTCCTACCAAACAATAGTAATGTACTTAGGTGATGTTAGGGTTCTGGAAATGGGTTATGTATGGACTTGCTTCATCTATCTAATGCATACCAGAGCATCAGCTCTCCAAGTGCGGGCCAAGGACACGGGGGTCCCCACAATCCTTTCAGAGGCTCCACAAGGTCCTCCCTGTGGAAGACCAGATTTTCTTTGTATTCTTTAACCAAAACCACATATCAAAACAGATTGAGTGCAAAAGCAGATAGAAGAATCCAATTGGCTGTTACTAAGCAAGGCACTAAAGAGATTTGCAAAAATGCAATTGGGTTACACTCTCACCAAGGGTTTTTTTTGTTTTTTTTTTTTATTTTTTATAATTGCCCACCCTTTGTTATTTTTAAATAAATGATTTAAAAATGGTTTTGCTTTAATTTTTAAGGGTGTGAATGACACAATCCTCTTTTCTCTTGGCTCATGACTTCTGAAGTAGTGTGTCCTCAGTATATTTACTAAGATGGAACATTAAGAGTGAAAGCTTTTTTCAAGATGGTTTATGGGGAAAATATGCATTAGAACGTCTCAATGTGATATTTACATGTTTTATTACGTGATAATAGTTAAACTATTAGTTTTTTTATAAATGTAATGTAGCTTTTAACTTGCAAAGTCAGAATGCCATGAAATAATTTCTTTTTTATTATAAGATTGACTGTTCAAGTACTATTATGCTGGACAATATTGTGAGGAAAGATACTAGTACAGATCATGGCCAACCAAGACCGCCCTCAAACAGAACCGTCCAGTCACCGAATTCATCAGTGCCGTCTCCAGGCCTTGCAGGTAAAGTGCGCTTCTTTTGATTTTTCCAGTTTTTACTCAGCTTATAGTAAAAAAAGCCCCCCTCCCTTTTTTTGTTGGATAATTAAAAGGGGTCTGAGTTTTTGGCACTATTTAAAATTAGTATACTGTACTTTAAAAGTGGCAAGCAGAGATTAAACCTCGGTCTGTTCAATTTCAACATAGCTTATAGGCATTGTATACTCGCAGGAGGAAATTAGTATTGTACTCTCTCTTTTTGATAAGTTGCCTGTGATGTGGTCTCTTAAATAGATGTGATTTGCCTAGGGTCAAAATTTTTGTCAGTGACCGTCACTCTTTTGGTGGTTTGTTTGGTGTGTAATTGTGTTTTACGATTTTTAACATACCTACTCATTTCTTCCAAGAGAGAAGCACTCTAATACTATTCCCAGAGACACTGGCAAAATAGGTGCCTTAGACCAAAAGAAGGAAAGAGGAGAATTTCTTAAGTCATTCACCAGTCACATAAACATAAGCAGTTACATAATTTAAAGGGAGATGCTTACTTTAAAACATAGACAAACTTAAAATATGAAAAAGCTGGGAGGAAATTGTTAACAAAATATGGCAGAGACTGTTTAATTATATGATAAGTTCATCTAGATAATAAGCAGAATACTGAGTCCAAGACACGGGAGGCCAGAGACAACCTCATACTAGGTCCTGGTATCTGTGACAACCACCATCACCTGCAGGAGAACTCTGAGTAGCTTTTATAAGACCTAGCTCTGGCACAGGGACCAAGTAAGCTGGAAGGAGGTAACTGCATGCCACTAGACAAGAAGGAGTGAGGGTGAAAAGGGTAACTATTGCATTGTTCTGTACACCTGAAACTCACAAAAAAAAAAAAAAAAGAAAGAAAGAGAGACAAGGGGGAAAGAAAAGGGAAAGAGATTAAGCCTTTCACTCAAAATATTTTGTTTACAGAAAACCCGATAAATTTATGTACACATATAGCTTGTTTGGTATTGTGAATGAGTTTTTTCTAATAATGTCTGTGATTGGTTATTGTTTCATGTAGGAATGTTATTGATTTTGTATGTTGATTTGGTATGCAGCAAACATGTTAAAATTTTTATTAACTCTGTTAAAAAAAAAGGAGAGTACTGAATATTGCCAAAGGGTATGAGTTGATAATTCCCTAGAGAAGAAATGCATATAGCCAGTAAAAATGTGTATGGGGGGGTGGGGGTAGGGGTTCAGTCACACTCATAGTCATTTAAAAAACTCAAAACAAGATGTAATTTCTAACTGTTTAATTAGCAAAGATTTAAACCGTGAAAATAGATTGAGAATGTGATGAGCAAAGTACATATAAAAACATTTTTAATACATAGCTGCTGGGTGTATAACTTGACAAAACATTTCTGGAAGCCATTTGGCAATATCACGGAAGCTAACCTTCCTCCAGTACTGACTTTGCCAGGCACTGGACAAAGTATCTTATGCACATTGCCTGGTAGAATGTTTGTTTCAGTGTCTTCCGTTAATTGGTCTCTAGCAGCTTGCTTTCTTGGACTGCTTTATTTTTTTTTTAGCTGAGCCATCCTGCCACCTGTTGGCAGCTCATCGGCTGCTCAGCTTGGGCCGGGAGTCGAACCGCTGTTGCTCGGAGCTCAAACTCTTGAGCGAGCTCTTAACCAACTGGGCCACTCGGCCGGCCCTTGGACTGCTTTTTTTTTTTAAAGATTTTTATTGGGGAATTGGGGGGATGGGAACAGTGCTGGGGAATTGGGGGAAGGGGAACAGAC